TTCTACAATCTCATAGTGATAAAATAATTGTTAAATATTTGCTAAAAAGCTCAAGAAGAATAACATATAATATATTGAACAATGTCAAATAATAAACAACATATGTCAAAATACATATGCATTCTTAATTTGTCACATGTTCCTCAAACTTTTAGAAAAAAACTTCTAGATTTCTGATAATTAAATGTTCGAAGGACTAACAACGTTAATAATACCGAATCGTCAAACGTGAAATTAATTCGAAGCAAATCTTTGCCCTGTGACATCGGTGATCATATTCGATTGGTCGCGACGCGTTGAAGATAAACAAAAAGTAAATACCGGGCAGTGGCGCGTACGGAATATCCCTTTAATCCTTTAATCTCTGCGATCTATTGCCCCGTGCGTGGAGCACACCAACTGAGAATTAGCGTTCCCTCGGCTCGCGGCTGTGGCTGAATTATTGCCACTGTATCAGAAACGCAGAAGCCCTGGTAATGCGATTCCAGCGAGAAATTACGCAGCGTGACGACGTGAATCAGAGTGCTCTCGGAGAGGGTGTCTCTCCGAGAGCAGAAACTCTTCATAGAAAGGGAATGAAGAAAGAATGGAAGATGACAGGAAGAGAGAGACGTCCGCGTTATCTCGAGCGTGTCGCGCGGAAACCAAGGCGAAAAACTCGACGGAAAGCGAACAGCATCCTCGCGATAGCTATGAATTATGCATGGGGCTTGGCTGGTGAAAGTTTACGACGAATATATATATATACACGACCTCGCACAAAATCCGTGGGATTCCATTAGACGGATTTTAATTAGGCGCCATTTTATTGACTCGAGTCCCTTCTTCTTTCTTCCTTCTTCCTTCTTCTTATTTTCTCCTCGGAAGATTTCTCTCTGGTGCAAGCTTCAGTATTTAATCGTCCATAATTCTGGTGTTATTACGATCCCCACAAGGGGATTTTTTTTTTTACCGCCGTCTTATCGCAGCTTTGTGCTTCCTCACTCTTCTTTGAAAATAAACACTCCTCTCTCGCGAGTAAAAACAAAGATACATTGACAAAACCATGGAATTATTCGCACCTCTTCATCTTTTCGAACGAAGAATGTTGTATTGAAAATGCTCACGAGAAATGATTTAATATATTCGATTTACAACTCTAGCGTCGACAGATGTAATAGACACGTTTACACATCCGTGAGAAAGTGTAAGAATGTACATAATGCACGTAGCAGTTGCTCGTTACAACGTTTAGGGATTAATAAATTTCTGTTCCTCTGCTGTCGAGATACTGTAACTGAGACATAAAGCTTCTAACATAATCCTTTTTACCAATTTATCTTTATTACACATTCCCTTAACATAACGGAATAGGCCATTACATTAACTTCATCTCGACTTCCATTAATGAAGCTCCGTGTTCCTCGATGTATGAATATATATTAGCAAAGTTTGAAGTCTTAAATATACTCGTAAAAACATAATTCAACGTAAACGTCATTATTTATCTTTCCAGCATTTCGAAAATACTCCGATAAGGAAGTTGCTACCGGCGATAATCGTAGCTAATTTTATCGTAGTGCAAACCGATGTTTTTACTCTCTGTTTGGCAAAAAGGGGGGTTGGCAAGTGGCGCCACGAGGGACTTTCACTGCTGTCAGTGTTTCTCGCGGAGCAGGTGTCCAGCGCAGCCTGACTATATTCACAAACGGAAAACAGACGAGCAGACCGGCGGTGAGTTTTTACGAAACGACGTAACTTGGAAAGAAAGAAAAAGGAAAGCCGGGTAAAAATTGAACGAGCTACACTTCCCGTGAATTTCCACGAACAAGCTTCCTCGTTCTGGTTTATGAAACGTAAACAACGCGGGGAGAAACGACTGGAACGAGGGAAAAAGTGGCACGAGAGATCGGCCGTTTTCCGCCTTCCAGTTTGTATTTATTACTTAGAGTTACCGATCCGGAGCGGTTCTTATTTTTCTTTCTCGATGAGAGAGACCTTCGCGCAGAGGATGCTCGGAAAATGTTTATACCATCGCGAGGCAACACCTGGTTGCTAGGGGTTGTTTGTCCAGACGAACACGATGAACGTGTTCTCGATCTAGGTAGAAACGACAGTAATCAATTTCTAAGGGGAGAAATTCCATTCTTGTCCTAGAAATTTACAAAATATTAAAGGAATTTAGAGGAAACAGATTTAGCTATTGTGCTTCTTCCCCTTGTACGTGTATATATGGCAACATCGAGCTAGCTAAAGACAAATCCTGGTAAAGAATTTAATCAGAACGTCAATTAAAAACAAAGTAACATTATAAATACGTTTTTTAATTTTTTGAAATTTCAGTTCAATATCAAGGAAAGAAGAGTTTGATAATATAGTTTGGTATAACAATTGATTGATAATATCGATTGAGAAGAATATTGTTCCTTGATGGCTTAATCATTCATCGAAGTACACCAAATTACGTAGAATTAAAATGTAAATTAATAGAAAATTGTTGTTAAAGCTTGAATAAAAAAAAAAAAAAAATCACAGAGCAACGTTTTAAAGATAAATCTTTGAAAGAAATAATAACGCGAGAGGGAAGGAAGTATCTAGGCAATACTCTCGCTTTTCGATCCTGTCACGTGTGTTTCCCTCTGTTCCACGAGACTTAAATTGAACCGAACTGCAAAGTTCCATCAGGCGGGGATCTTCGATTCTGTCGATGTGCCCCGGCTTGTTTCTCGAACGTTCTCGCATGACGAGAAGTCGTCGTGACACGCGATAAGAGGACGTCGTAGGTAAAGTGTTTCCCGAGTACGAAGGGGCTGCAGACACGAGAAGAAAACTCGCGGGGGTTGAAGGCGAGCGAGTAGAAGAGAGGAGGAGAGATTCAACGTCAGCAGATCCGAAGGTTCCGTTTTTTTCCCTGACGACTGCCTATATTTCAGTGGAGTATCATTCTATAACCTTTGTTTTTGTCAAATCTATGGGATTATGGATTTCTGAAGTATCAGGCCGATGGATACGGAAAGTTATCAAATAAAAGACTATACACAGTCTTCTCAGAACATCATATGTATATCAAACTCGCAAGAACTTACGTAAGAAAATTTCACAAGTATTTTGATCATTCACAATGATTGACATAGGGTTTTAGTATTTTTGTTACAAGTAAATTTCTTTAACATTCGTGTTAGAAATCAAATCGAGTATATAAAAATTTTAAGTTTCATACGTGAAAATGATACAAATTATAAATGAAGAATTTATTGGGCCAATGTAAAGTAATTTAACGAATATATCGGTTTAACATTGGTACAGTAAAAAATTCTATTTATTTGAGAGTCAATACTCGAACTCTGTTGATTGAACCTGAACTTCTATCATATGAACGAAAAATCACTGGAGAATGAATTTCAATTATACGTGTAAATTGTTTTGCCTCCCGCTAGATTCACATAAGCATACACTCTATGTGTACTTACGCGAATTCTCCAATCCCATCCGTATTCAGAAAACTTATCGGTAGTAAGACAAACGACGCAGTTTATCATAATACCATCCCCGTCTATATTACTCTGTAACCATCTATTCTCCCGTAAACCATCTTCTCATAAACGGCGTATCAAACCTCGCTGCCTCGTACCCTGCACGGCGTAATAATTTTCAGCCGTGGTTTTCCAGGATGCCGCGTTCGTACGCGACGAGGAAGACACTTCCGACACAAACAGAGAAGGAAAAAGTTGGCCGACAAAGCCGTCACGTCTCGGATGTTAGCGCCGGCAGCCGCGGAAAATTGAGCCATCCGCATTCATATCCGCGTCGGTTTACGAGCGCGCCGCTGTTCACGTTCCGCCTTCAATATTCGGATATTATTCGAAGCGGCTGTATGCAGTCACGGAGCCCCTCTCTCCTCTTATTTCTAATACACACAGCCGTCGCGTCGCGAGAGAAACCGAGTCTTCGATCTGCCGATGCTCGAAGCTCGAATCTCGTATATAAAAAGATATACCTTACTCGCATATTCTGCGAAAAAAAAGAAACGTCTGTTGGAATTTCTACGAAAAATTATGAATTTAGGTTCAGTAGCTCTGGTGATGATGGGGGGGGGGGGGAAATATTATGATTATCAAAAATCTCTGAGAATGAAGAGTAGAGATTAATATCATTCATTGGTCTCGTTTTAGGATTATTCATTTTTCATTCTCTCCTTTCATTTAACATTTGTCCAAATTCTCTTCGAATAAAATTCTCTTTTTTTAATCTTCAAATTTTTGTGCCGAGATGTGCCCGATCAGACACGTTTAAATTAATCGAAAAATTCTTGATCGAAAATCAAAACATATTGTTTCTTTTAATACCGTGTTCTATACTGTGCTTTATAAAAAGCTACCAAACTAATATCCCATTTCATAAAATGTAATATCGTAAAAATTCTTAACGAAGGAATTTATCAAACCTGCAGCCGCAAGTTATAATACGGTTATTCTGTTAATTTCGAGCCGGCTACATTCTTATCGCGTTACGTTGAATTTTTAAACTGTCTGAGAACGAACGAATTCCCACAATTCAAAAATTAATGAAATTGGTAAAACTATTGCCTGCAATAAAGCCAAGATATAGAATATAGAAATATAGAAATAGAATTACTTCTTCACCTGTAGCACATTCGCAACAGCGATTTTAAAGCTTCGTCGATTAAGCGATTTTTCGCAAAACGGTACGAATCACAATAAGAAAATATTCCATACACCCTCTCATTGATCCGTGCACTTTAAAAGATAAAAGGAGATCCGCCAGGAGAAACTTGCGAGGAGAATCCTTTTTCGGAGTAGTTGGCGCGTGTCGCATTACATCGATGAATGTTTTTCAGGGGTGTGTCGCGTATCGTGGGATTTCTAGCAACTGTCCTCTGCCGGTTCCGGAAGGATGTTGGATTCGGAGGGTAGCGCGGAGAGCATTCGCGGTCCGGAGAATTCAGCAGCGCGCGAGGAAATGGTCAGCACGATGCCAAATCGACAGAATACGAACAGTGACAAGTTGGAGGAATTCGAGAAGCTACTTCAATCGATGTTACCTTCTCGTACACCGTCGCAGGAGGAAGAGGAGCCGGAGGAAAATGACGTCGAGAAGAAAATAGGTCTGTCTTTTCTTTAACCCTTACATTACATTAATTTATCTTCCCTTCATTTCGTAAGATTCGTTTCTTCTTAAATTTTGTAATCATCATTATGTTTTTCTTTTACAGAATTTTTACAACTTTTTTTCTCAAATCTTATCTTAAACTACATCAACTTGGCTCCATATTTTTCGCTCAGATAATTTTGAATGATTGTTATTAAACCAAGCTACTATTATATATCAATTTCAATTGTTATTATACCGAATGATTTGGTTAATAAGGGGAGAATATTTCGTCTTAAAGTAAATGACAATTTCACGTTGTCAATGCGAACAGGTAGTAAAAAAAATTGTGAATTGTGTTACTCATTTAAGATATGCTTTAGTAGAACATTTGGCAAAATTTATTGTGAATGTGTAGGACAAGATACGTTTAATTTGATGTTTTTGTTCGAGAGAGAGGGAGAGAGAGATTTGAAAAGACTGAGAAGGAGCATCATAATGTACAGAGGACTCTCCCGAGGGCTCTTAATGCTAGCAGGGGCTAAAATAAAGCCGTGCCGCTCTAATTATCGTCCCATTTTTTTTTCTTGAAGAAAGCTCCCGCGTAAGCCACAAAACGTCAAAGTCCTCCAGAAAGAAGGAAGATATTTTTGTACGGGGATGCAACCCTTCTTATTTTCCACCCTTTAGCTTAGAATCTACCTAAATTTATGGTTACAAGAAGCAGCGGCGGTTTTGTAACTAAAAGCTACAACTGTTGAGATTTACGAATTTCTCCTAAGAAATAATTGTTAACGTAATTTTGTTTCTTTTTTAATTCTCATACGTACGCGTTTATACATATATATTGTCTATAAAATATTTTGAAATTTCATTAATGTTGTAATGAAGTTCGATTATCAAGATTGTAGTTATTGGTCGAGTCTGAAACAAATCTAAAAAAAATATATATATATATATAAAATACAAGATATGTAATGTAAATATATATACATCTCGCATATATCATCAAAGAACTATTATTGTAAATTATCTATTATTGTAATATGTTCTAATATTCAATGACGCCATATTTAATCCTCATCGTGGCTACGCACTTTGAATATTAATTTTTTATTAAATATATATTTGCAACAAATGTCTTGTAATCTCTGTATACAGACTTGTTTTACCGATATAATTATAATAAGCATCTCTCATTATACTGTCAATGAGATTAGCCTGACGCGACATTTGAAAAACAGGAACAAGCTTCGTCAAGTCAACGAACAAAAATCATCCACCTGTACACATTCGAGGATTTTCCCCTGAATTTTCAGTATCGTCTCATTCGTCACGTCATTACGTCGTTTTGTTCATTAACATCCGTTGGAAATCCATATTGTTAGAAAAGGTTCGAATCTGCTTGTGAGGTGCTCAATCTCATCTCTAGTCTAGGCTTCTAGGAGATGCTTCGAGGAGAAAGAAAGGGAGGAGACTCGTCTACCGCGAATCCCTCTGGTTCGTTCGAAACACTGGCTCGTTCTTCTAAAAGATGGAACGACGAAGGGAGGGAAAGGGCGAGGGCCAAGGGGTATGCAGTGGAAACTCAGGTAACCTGTTGAGAGGGCCTGGAGTAGGCGAAAATGGAGAGCTTGGTGCAGCTTAACTTGGAGAATTTCCCAGACGCTCGCCAAGGGCATTTGCAGGGAAAGTGGCTGGCTGGCTGGCTGGTTGGCAGCCGGGGTGCTTTTCGCCCGAGAGAAGAAATTTCCCTGGCCCGGGGGATTAAGTTCCGCCTCGCGCGCGACCGAAACGTCTCAGCGGTCTTTCGTCCCTTTCGCCTCTCCCGTCTCCGCCCGTTTCTATTCTTATTCGGCCGCTTTCACCGGCCGAGCACGCGGCAACCAGATGGTAACGCGAACTTTAATGATCTTTTTCGTGGCTCGGCAGAGCCGCCGGAAATTAGCGACCGACAGAACTTGCTCGCCGGGAGCTCTTCGCTTTTGTATTCCTTCGTCGTCGTAGTCGTCGTCATCGTCGACTCGGGGGAAAATGGGGAGAAAGTTCTCCCTTTCTTTTTCTTTTTCGCGCGCGCATTTGCATTCGAAGGTCGTGGAGGAAGAAACACGGCCTTCGGAAAATTTTTTGCGTTTTCCTAACGTTACTCTATGTTTAAATAACACGATCTCAATGTCACACAGTTGAAAATGAGAATGATCTGTCAGATTGAAAGACGTGCACGTTTGTAAGTAAGCAATACGACGTAAATGACATGAATATACGTGAAAAATATTTTCCTATACAGGGGAAAGTACAATAAGTGTGGTGATCATTTTTAAACAATTGTTAACAATTTGCTAATAAACTGTCATATGGACTCAAATGTTTTATGAACCTTTTGAAATTAACTTTAATATTGCGTTCTTTTACGACGAGCAACATTTCGGATGTTTTAAAGAAGATAAAGAGAAACACACGTACAGTTCGAAGATCAATTTTCGAGTTTCACATTTCTGGATTCTTGGATAGATAGTACGATTTCGAAGGATTCGTACGGATTCGTTGTTTTTCTTTCCTGTTAATCGCGCACGTCGAATTGTCGATTTGGGGAAAGCACGACAGTCTCTAGAGACGACTCGAAGCGACCGGACGAAGCATTAACTCTATCAGGGGTAGAAAAATTATTCCACCGGAAGAAGGCCGCGGGCAGTCTGGCCTTCGTAGCGTACGCGAGTGGAATTAACGATCGCCGCGGAAATCGAAATATTAACTGGACGTGACAGCGGTGGCCCTGCGGTGCCGCAGTAGAATAGGATCAGCGTTTGATCAGACATCCTTCATCATCCAACATTTCGTCAGCCATTTGTCCTCGCTCGTTTCTCGATTGATATACTTTTACCGACATTCGATTTATTTTCTATAAAATCAGGCTGTTCTATATAATGTCTGACGTATGACACGCCTGGGGCTGTTTTTACACGTTTTACGACTCGTTCTACTGTAATAACTTGTGACTTGTGAAATATCAGTAAGAGTTATTGACACGAAAATTGAATTAATCGAACTTCTGCTATTGATTGAAGCTCAGGTGAATATAAATGAAATTCTAGCGAGATTTAATTATAGAAAATTATAGAAAAATTACAGAAAAAGGAACGGCTCTTTTATATAAAATTCTTTACTACACAGTAGAACGTCGATTATTAGGAATAATAGGGAGACAATGTTCAAATAATAGAACGATGACTTTGCGAGTACTAAATTTTTAGCTTAATCATCTTTGAAGTAAATATTATATGTACGCATACATAGCATGTATTGTAATAATATGTAATAGAGAGTTTAAATCATACAAGTAGATTACAAATTTTCACGTATTTATAGGAAATTTTGAAGGGCAAAGAGAGTTGCACAAAGCGCACTCGATACGAGAAAGTATACAAAATGTTCAAAGTATACTGTTTTCTTTATTGTATTCTCAAAAATATGAATTTATATAAAAATCTTTTTAGCACTCCAATTATCGAATCTTAAATAAGTGAAGTTCAACCAAAGCTTCAGCAAAACTAGAGCAAGAAAGTAAAAGAAGAATCACGCGAAACACAGTCGAAGCTATAGATCATATCATTTGCTGACTTAATCGTGCAATTGAGCCACCCTTAACAACGCGAAAGCTTCCTTCGAACAACGTCGCGATGATGTCGCAAGGTTAATAACCGGTGGATTTAATTACGATGCATCGGGCAGATTTAATAGGGGAAACGTTACGACGCGGGTGTTTCCCAAAGTGAACCGCAGCTGTTGCCAAATTCGCGAGTCTCCGCGGCGAGTTCTCGGGCTCTCCGATCGTCCGCAGCTAAATTTCCACGGCGAATTTCCGTGGAAACCGAAACGCCGCTATCCCACGCGGCGTTCCAAATTAAACTCATAAAATGTCCGGGGCCCGACGCGGGCGTTCGGAAACCGGCACTTGGGAATTACACGACGCGAGATCAACGTAAATTTTCGGAACATGAATTCCGTGGGTTACGCTGGATCCAAGCACTGTGTTTAATCGCGAATGATTCTTTTGTTCCTCCGTTTAATTCGAAGATTTACAGAGTTCTCCGACGAGTTTTCATTTTGTATAAAAATGATTATTAACAATGAAATGTGCGGACGAACATCTAGGAAGAAAGAATTTATATCTACAAGCGCACGAAAGTGCTGGAAACATTTGTAGATGTTGTTCGCGATGCGTTGTATGGAGACATTTTGAAATTTCACGAGCATTATTATTACATTGGTAAAGCTTCAAATAAATCTAAAAATATAATAGATGCAGTGTTTCATTTTTATACACGTTCGTAAATATTGGATAAACTCGATGAACTATCAAGCCTCGAGACAAATTCACATATCGTAACAAATATCTCATCAATTGTATGTTATATGATTAGTCGATCTCGAACTCTTTAAACGATTTTAATTTTCTAATTGGTGAGTAATGAAATATCAAAGTAATTAAATATTAAAATAGTACGTAATAGTACGTTTGAATCTTCTGCGATAAATGTTTGAATACTTTTATTTTTAGTGAGACTGGGATCAGTGTACGTGGTCGCATTGGAACTGACATCGGGTATAATTGAAGGCTTCTTAAAGCCTTGGAATCTGGTTTAGATAGCGCCACGCGTTAGAACGCCGTTACCACAGCATCGACTAATGCAAACTTTAATTAAACGTCTTCCGCGGAAGCGTTCCGCCGCGTCTTCAAGCGTGCATTCCGTGCAATTTCCGGCGCGGTGGTGTCAGGCCCGCGCGCATGATTAAAATAATAAATTGCGTGCTCGCGTTTTCGGTGGAAATTAGCGGCAGATCGGCCCGCAAACGACGATACTTTGAATTATATAAATGGCCCGTTGCCATTTCGCTTCGATGTAAGGAATTTCTCGAGCAAATATGGCGAACGAGAAGTTTTAACGCGGCCTACGCGGCGCATTCGTTGGCTGGCCACCGGCCAATTCGATCTCACGGTCTGCCTCGTTTTCCGAATTACGCTATTAGATTTGCGAAAAAAAAAGTCCCCCGCGACGTTTGGATTCGCTGCAAGCGAATAGCCGAATAGCCTGCTGATTGAAACCAGTTTCTCTGGCTACGTTTTTATTGTCTTGCATCACTCGCAGACTGTTCTATTCAGATTGGATAATAAAACTGTGTATTTAAGTTTCGTTCTC